TGTTTGTAATAAAACCGAGAAATCAGGATCGCATTCTACCATCCATTGGTCAGCGGCGCATGTTTATATGAGATCCGACGTTATTTTTTAACATAAATCACACGGACACCGCTTTGCGGAAACGGTTCGTCGACGAATTCCCGTTGGATTGCATCAATGTAATCGGTATTAAATGCGAAATATTCTGTCGGCCGAACCTTCATGAATCACTAAATTTGTCGGATCCTCTGCGCTTACCGGTATTTCCCAGAAGTATCATTTATCATCGTGCTCACTTTCTGATACGGCGTACAGATATGACAGGTATACGAGGTGTCTCGGAATTGGAAGATTCTCAAGTGTAATCGGTCGGTTAAAATCCGTCTTTTTATTTCATTTTTATTAAATGCACGACAGAAAATAGACGATTATCGACCCGGAGCGCCTCTTCTTTAAATTAAATAAACGTTAATCACGAATTACTGCGATCCTTGTACAACAGGCGATTCAATCACGAACTTCACATCGCATTCAACTATAAAACGATAGTTCTTCTGACAGATGATTAAATTATTCCTGCTTGAACATCGTCAGTTTCTCATTAAAACAAACGCTCCTAGTAAAATATTTAATCAAGTGATCCAATTAAACGTTCCTCCACGATTCGCGTGAAAATTCGTTTAAATCTAGAGCGATAATTTTTAATTCAATTACTTCACTAACCATTTTATAGCAATTTAATAATCCAACTGCGTACGCCAAAACTATCCTTGATCTCTACCAAGTCCTCTCCTAAAAAACGAATAAACGCAAAAGTGTTTGGAATTAATGTCTTTCACAGTGCATTCATAAAAGAAGCACTGAATCGATGGAGGCAGCGTTTTATGTGTTGGAGCAATTATTCCGCGAAAATAAATTATAATTCAATCGTGCGTTATGAACAAAGCATTTTTCAAAAGCCAGAAGAAAGCACAAAATGAAGTTGTTTCCAAATGAAATATTTTATAGAATAGGGAATCGAGTCGATGATAAAATGTTGTCTACTGGAATGTGAAAAATGTTTGACTCCGTCTATCGAGAAAGGAAGCGAAAAATATAGTCGATGAATTTTCCTGCGGGCAATTGGCGTCTATCGAATGGAAATCATGAACGTTTGCTCTCAAGCATTTTTTCTATTTCTCTCGTCGAATAATCTGCGAAATCGCGATAAAAAAAGAGACGGCAAGCTACGCGGGACGTGTTTATACGTCGAAACCTGCACTCCATCATTGATTGCGCGAGATCACATTGTAGCGTTTCTCTTTTATTTTCGTCCGCTTTCATCCATGGTTCGATCATCGAATCCTGTTCATTTTGTTTTCCATTTCCCATCGTTCTGGGTTCACTTTATACCTCTTTGTTTCACCGTTGTGTAAGCGTATTGTGTTACACGCGCATGCACGTACATAATGAATTGCGTTTCAATGTTTTCAGGCAGAAATATTTAGAAAATAACTAAAACTTCAAATGATAATTTCGTACAGTCAAACAAGTGAAAATAATCGTTGTATAATTTATAATAAGACGACGAAGTTTTATTAATCAACGTCTCGATTTTTACGTGAAATCTAAATATTTTAAATTTAACAATGTTTTGAATATTGGAAATGTTGAAATGTTTGAAATATTGACAACGCACGACCCGGAATTCGATTCGAGCCACAACCCCTTGGTTGCTACCCCTACATTCACACCTTCCGAATCGCCCATTCACCGAACCAAGTGGCTCAATTATGCTCGCTGACGGGGTTGAAACAGCCGAAACGGCACGCAGCTGCCACTTTCGACCCTCAATCTCTATCGTTTCCCAAACAACTCACCGACTATCGTAGCAAGCCCCGTAGTTCATGAATTCTAATTAGTCTATTTCCGTTCTTCGATCATGCATTTTCCAGTATTATAAGAAAACGTTTGGTATTCTTCTAATTAACCAGATTGAATTAGTATGAAGTACAGTTCGAAATTATCTATCATTTATCGATTTCACTATAAAGCATTGGAAAATGAATTTCGATAAAATACAGGCATTTGGTATAACAAATGCATGGAAAGTTCTTTCAAAGAAATCAGTGAACAATTGTTATCTTAAAGTTCGTGTTCACTCACTCTAATTTATACGATAATCTGATAATTGATAAAAATTTGACAACCGGGTGATTAAATTATTTTCCAAAATTGCCGATTAAGTTAACGAAATAAAAAAAGGACGAAGGGGAAGAAAAGAGTCAGAGGGAGGATAAAACGGGAAGAGTCGCACACACCCGTTTGTACGCGTCGTACTACGAGGAGCACATTTTCCAAGCCGATACGCTTTCCCTCCACCCTTTTTGATACGCGCAACGCCATGCCACCCCGTGCGCCACCCATCTCTCCCCCTGCTCTGCTCCGATTGCCGCCGCCGGTATTTCCCTTTCTCTACCGGCTTCCTACCTCCTGGTCGCCTCTGGAAATAGTCGCCACAAAGCGATTCCCCGTGCTCCTCGTGTTCGACGCGATTATCAAACGGCCGCCAACTCTTTTCGTCATCCGGCTACTCGTTGTTATCGCGACACGTGCTGCCGGCCGACTTGCGACTCGGAGAATCGCGAACGAACCGAGCAGTTCTATAAACGCGTTCGAGCAAAGCTCGTTAGTTCCGTCGAACGGTGTTCAAGAATTTTTTATCGAGTGACGATTATGAAATTCTATTCATAAAGATGAATTCGCCTTCTATATTTCATCTTCGTAGGGAAACTGTGTGTGTCGTGCAGTTTTTTAAATTATTTGTTAAGAAGAATTAAAATATGAAAAGAGAAGTTAATCGGAGATGAGAATCGAGAGCAAGTGATGTGTAGAATGTTCGAAAAGGGATTCTTGTTGAAGTGTGTTACTTGAACCTTCGTGAATTAATGCAAGCCCGAGGTAGTGGGAAAGTTTATTTACAGCATGTAATTCAGTCGGTAAAGGTTCGAAGAAATTCAATTCTGTTAACTGGACTGGGAAGAAATCTACTAGTTAGAGAACTTGGTGGATGTGGATTAATTGGGATAACTTGCGATCGAAACTGAGGTAACGGATAATATTCTTTCTAGAGAGCACGCATTACAAAATTGAAATGAAACTTAATTGAACTAAAGAGGACATTAATCATTGTATAAAATGAGAAAAGGGGGAGGTTAATTTGATCTGTCTTCATGGGAAAATTGAAAATTAAGATAACGCGAGAGTGGAACAGAATGGGATATATACATACAATTACGAATTCATTCTATCGAGAGGAATTGTAATTACAAGAACTGTAAAAGATGAGTTAATTGGAGGTAATGCGTACCCTTCTTTCGCCTCTAATTTACTTAATACAACGATTTAACCGACAGAATCGTTTCCATTCCATTCTAAAATCAACTTGCAATTCTATGGAGTTTTAATTAGTTCTCAATAGATTTGATCGAAATTAATGTTACACACGTCTTCGGTAACGGGAAGAAAATTCAAAGATCAGAACATAGATAAGACAGTTGATATCGTAACATCTAACCATTTAAACTACGCAAACTAATAGATCAGGCCGACCGATGTCATGGAACTTCGCCGCGTTTCTAATAAGTAACTCCCTCCTCGATGTGATTTATCGCGTTATCGATTCCGAAGAAAATGCTATCTGAATTTCCAACTTTCACGTTTCCCTCTTCAGCCGCGATAGAAAAATGATTTACAACCATTGACGCCTGTTAAGTGATTCTAGTGCCGTCCTCGTTTCCTAGCGATAGACGCGAACGAATAATCGCGAGTCGTTAATGCACGAGAGGTCAGCGCCACGTGGTCTCAAAGATGATACGAAAACTAGTTTCCACATCAAAGTTACCGGTTCTCCAACCAGGTAATACATCACTCCAATCGATGATAAAACTTTGATGAACTTCTAATACTTATGGCATTAATTTCAAAAGTCCGATTTAGATCATTCAAGCATTTCGATATGCCTTCATGGAACTTTTATAATATTTCATTGCGGATCACAAGAATTCTCGTAAATATAAATATATAATAAACTACTGGTCCATAATGTGTTAATAGATCATCCTTTATATGCATAAAATTCGCGATGTATTAATACGGGGAAAAGTTCATTGACTCATAATTTTTCAAAGTTCGAAACAATGCTTGGAACAGTGGGTAAATATTCTACTCAGGAATCAAGGATGAAAGTTGTCGGAATTGTCTCGCGACCCTTCGTTGAATGGGACAAAGGAAACTACTAATATGACGTAAATGAAATCAGAATGGTTTCCTGAGCGGAAGGGTGTTTGCGTCATTAATGTCAAGCGCATTGTCGTCGTCGTTGTCGTCGTCGTCGTCCAGCAGAGGCGTTGCTCGATATTATACGATTTATAATTAATCGTCTCCTTTCTCCCCTCGTCTACCGTTATATAATGTTCATACTCGGTTCGCCTCATTGTTAATGTTAAAAATAGAGCCGCGAATTTTTAGGGCGTACAATGCTTGCGCGGGAATAAATAGACGTGTATGTTAATGACTCACAGACTTAAACGTACATAATTTTAAACAACGTTCATAGTTAGAGCACTTTTCTTTTTAAATATCAGGAAGGACTTATTGTTTTACTAAATTATGTATATGATTCTTCACGTTCTCGAGAAACAGTGACGGACGTAACGGAAGTCTATTAGACTCATTAATTTCTGATCTTACCTCTCTCAAGATCTTATGAGAACTCTTCGTGCAAAGAATATTTTTAAATGCATTATATAATAAATCAAATCTAATGGAAAACTGTCTATTGTAATATTACATTATAAAAACTTAACATAATCTCATAGTGCATACTTATGCATCTGAATCATAATCAAGCATGAGTACAATCATAGTTGTAAGCACAATCAACAACAGTTGATTCACAGTCATAACGATAACAATATCCATAACCATTCAGTTAGAATTGCAACCTAATTCTGCTTTCATATTGTAATAATTCTACTTACCTCTCAGCTGTATGCAGTAGAATTTATAGGAACCCCATAGGATCGTTGTTCACAGGATTCTACGTATGGAATGTTGAGCACTTGATCGAACACAATAAACCAGTAACCAATTAACGATAATAATTGGCAATCCCGAGATCAAAATCGCGTCGACTCACATCGAATATACGGCGAACTGAACTATATCTTAATGCCAGGGTTACAACGGTACCCGGCTTTTCTTGAATCTCCGATTGTCGTCGAATTCAAACAGCCGGTTGTTCACATTTTTGTATGTATACAAGGTTACCGTTTCTATTTATAATTTTAAATAATCGTCATTAGTCGTTTTTCTATTCTCGCTATCATCGTCCTCCGGGTTGTTGATATCGCCGTTGCCACGAATGAATTGTGTATCCTTTGTTCGCCATAACTGCCTGTAATTTTATTAAGTTACATTATTTTCTGAATCTATTTGAAATGTTCAGATATAAAATACAAATTTTTCTAATATCAGGTTTGTGAATGCTGAGATTTTATATTTTCTACATGATTTGTGATAAGTATTGTTCTATAATTAAACCGTAAATAATGTATTAAGTAAATCAGAAATTCGACGGTGGTTGCAGACTTCTCATCGATTCATAAACGCTTATAATTTTTCTTCCATTTAGAACCCTTATCGGGATCATCCCGCAAGATCCGTACGATGTCTACCCTCAACTGTTTTTGCCGCGATTTAACTGTGCGCACACATAAACGACGATGCAATGGAGAAGTAAGTTCTTATCGGAATTCGCGATAATCGACGAATGATAAAGAGCGAACCGACTAGAATTTATTGAGGCTCACCGCGCGACGATAAACTTTCCGTTTATCTCGGGAGGAGAAAAAGGGGCTGGATTCTCGTGGATACTAATCGCTTGAAACGATAGCGTGATCCAAATACTTTGCTAGGCAATAACGAGCGGCTTAATGCTCGGCGAATTAAAGTTTCTCCTTTAAGAAACTTTGCGAATGATAGATTTCTTCTGATGAACGATAACGAGAACAATTATGCAATTCATTATGCAATTCATTATAAACCTTTTGAAACTTGATTCTGTTAATCTCTTGGTATCGAATTGATCTAAATGCTTCTTCGAGTGTGGATTCACTGAAATTTACTAAGTCGCTAAATAGGAAATCAATAGCATTGCACGTGACTAGCTCGATTCGCTTCGAGCGAAATCGTTATTGTTGAATCTCAAATCCTGCAAGTAGGATCCTGCTAACACGATTAATATCATCGAATATTACGTACTAATTTATCAACAACTGATCGTATCATTTCGTCAATTTCAGTCCTCGTAATCTAATGCAAAACTAAATCGGCTGAAAATTCTCTCGAATGTAGTAATTCGACATTGATTACAAATATTCTTAAATACTTTTTATAGAACTACTTCCAGAAAAAGTAATGAGAATATCAAATAGGATCTTTGATTATAAAAGTCAACGAGTTAATTTTATTACTTCATTCATAATGAATATGATTGAAGTGTTCATGGATTTATTCTGTACATTCTCAATGTTCCTCATTAACGATGCACGCCCGGAAAAATATCGAGATCGTGTACAGTCCGCTCGACATTTATGGATAGAGATAGAAGATGAAAAACACGGTACGTTTGGACGAACGACCGGCGATAAGAACAGAACATACACTTTCGTATAGGTTTTGTCGTTTGGTATAGGTTGCCAGTCGCAATTGGTCGTAAAAGCAACTTTTTTCTTCGAGATAATGCTCGCGGTGTATCGCCTCGCCTGTCCGATTTTCGCGGGGAACAGGACAGAATTTTAGTTCTACTTCCGTTTTCATTGTACATATAGAGTTATAGTGTTTTCCGATATTTCTTGTTCTCAACGAAACGGTTTCGGTTTCCTAATTAGTCGTCTATTATTCTATCTACGCACTTCATGCAAACTTTTAACGAATTTGTAATTCGAGAACTGTTACTTGATACTGAATATGGTAAATGTTTGGAGTTTCAGATTATATTTGATGTGAAGTTGAATAAAATTGAAACGGATATACAAATTAATTAATATCTAAATTGACTTCGTCACTTATATATTTTATGTCAAATGAAAATATCTTTAAACTGAAAACTGGTCATTAGTTGCGTCAAGTAATCTGTTATTTCAGGCTTTCGACGTTGGTCGGCCGGTTAAACAAATTATTGTGACGGGCTTGTGCCATATAACATCAACGGCCACAATTTTTTATTATCCTTAACACGTGTGTCGCGTTTGAACAAGTGTTATTCTTTGACAATGTGGCCGTTTAAGCGGTACTCGTAAAAAACGTCATGGGTTTCCATACAGTGTTATTATTGAGCAAAAATTATTCAATGTTAAGAAACGCAATTTGATCAAAAATAAATCAAAAAACTTATTTATTATTATAATTAAAAGTTTCAACCATAATAAATATCCAAAACTTAATGGGATATGTTTCGTACAAGTCGTAAGAAACTACGAAATGCATGCCACTCGAGCATCGACTGGCACAATCGCTTTCCAGCAGAATTTCTTAATAACGATCTGTGGTAACAGGTAGCCAATTACATTCTACAACACTCGTGGAACCCCGGCTTTCTCTCTCTCTCTCTCTCTCTCTCTCTCTCTTTCTCTCCCTAATACGCGCATTACCAACGGTTTTCTCTTTTCGCGGCGTGTTACTCGCATCGTGAAGTCGTGGCTTCGTTATCGTCGACTTCATTGCGCAATTAGGCTGTTCGATGCTCGACCTGTACAAGTGCCGTGCATCAGGGAACGCGATATTCGTGACTATTATCTATTTCGTGAAATCAAGATCAAAGGCCTTATGAATCTTGCAACGTTTTTAATCAGGTTTGATCAGCTTCTTGCTACGAAGGAGTTCCCATACTTCCTCTAATCGGAGAAAATCGTTTAAGAAACGGGATAAACTTTTAGTCAATAACTTTTCCACGGTAATTAACAACCATCCATTTCCTCTAATCCTCTAAAATGGATTCATAAATTTCGCTTCCTACGTTCGCGTTACATGAAATTCTCCTTCGTTCCTGCGGATAAGATTTTTAACACCGTGCGATGGAAAAAGAGTCTGTCGATAATTTAATCCACGAAATCCGGTGATCGGTTTTATAATACATTCTATTCGAGCCTGGCACTTGTCGGTGCTCAGATGGAAAGAACAATTCGCAGAAGTGAACCGTTCACCGGTCGGCTCGATTGCGCGTAATGTATTCCATAAATTAGCGTCGGAGCAAAGCTTCGATTAGGGATTGCTTCTATCGCAGGCGCGTGTTTTCGTGTAACCAACCTCGGTAGAACAACAGTCCCGACAAGCTACTTATGGATCTCCGATTGCTCGCTTTTCGCCTCGTATTAACATAATGTAACGGAATCTCTGAATATTCATCGAGCACCGAACTGATCCGACGGAATTCACCTACGCTATACACTACATGAAACTCCAAATTGAATACACGTGTGGTACAGGAAAACGCGTACATGAAATATCGTTGCCAAACCACAAGACATTCATTTACTGTAATGACGAGGCAACTATGGTTACGTGTAACTCTTATTAAATCACGTGACAGTATTATAATATTCTTAAAATCGTATTATTTCATATTCCATAATTCGTGGAATTTTCGTAAAGCTCGAAGTTCGATAGAAAAATTTAATAATCTCGTATATCGAGGGAAGTTCGGTCGCGAATTTGATCAATGATTGCAAATTTCGTTTCAGTTCTCCGAGAGAGAAACGGAATTTTCAATAAACTAGCAGGTATTGAATTTGTTTTGTGCAAAGTAAATCCGTGGCACCATTTCGAAACTTTTTGCGGATTTTGTTAACGACAGAACTTTCGGGCTCGTCCAGGTTGAAACGTCGTATAATATAGGAAACTGGTCGCGCGGTAGAACGTAGATTCGATACCGGTGGAAAAGTAGGTGTCTGCGATAAGAAAATTCCGTTCGGTCGACGAACGATTTCCATTCGCCCGATTAATGTAAGGATCTTATGGAGGAATTTAATCGGTCGGACATTGAGAGGCAAACGGTTGGGTTATCGTTGGAAATATGAAGTCATGAGCTGCTACCGTTTCGCGGCCCGAAGATAATCTCGCGAGCAAAGAGGAGAAAATTGAGAGGAACGGGCGGGGAGATCGTAAAAGGTATCGGGCCAGTCCTCGCCTCGCTCCGTGAGCCGTGGCCGAGCCGACCTAATGGACGTATTAATAATGATTTATCGCGACGATTATGTCGTTCCATTCGCCGATTGAATACCCAACGGGCATCGCTACTGACTTTATTCGGAAACACGTTTTTTAAGTAATCGTCCGTTTGCGTCTTAACCGGAGAAACGGTTATTTGTTTAATTAAGCGTCGAGTTAATAACGCATTATTCCAACGTAATACGTTTAATATTATATCAAACGCTAACCACTTCGTACTCGGAATTTAATCACGGTTTTTCGCTTTCAATTGACAATACAGCTTGTCAAACATAAAATATACTTTCATATTTGTTATCCATTCGGAAATTGAAGATTTCAGTTAAGAAGAGAATAAAAATGATTAAGAAAATAATTATCGTGGTAGCTTTGATTTTAATGAAAAATCTGTTCGTTCGCTACTCAGAACTATCAGTTCTATCAGGAACTACGAATACATATCGTGGATTTTTCGCATGGGTTGGTCGACAGGACCACATAACTCTCTTTTGCGGTGGAAAGCAAATACGAGAACGGCTCGCATATCGGGATAACAAAAAACATTCCCAATGAAAAACAGAGGTATAATAAAAAAAACTAAAATAAAGGGCGTGCAGTTATTTTTATTATTATATAAAAAATTCGTGAAAATCAACATTTATGAATCGATTGAAGTTCTCATCACGATATCAAGTATCATTATTAATTAGTACAGAACCTAAAATATCTTTTGATGATCAAATACATACAGGCGTTATGTTAAATGTCGAATTTATTACGGAAACACGGTTGACACGTTCAAACAGGCAATCGGTGAAACGTAATCAACGAACCTGTCGTGTTTACAGAGGACGTATCGGCGATGGACGGTCATTAGTTAGCGATTAAAAATATGGAAACGAATATCGCGAAATGGCATATTAACACTTCCATATCGATTGTATTTCAAATTTGCATACGGTTTATTTTACTGAAATTGCGGGGAACTGGTAAAGCGAAGCTTGCCATGTCGAACGATCTAAGATGGTACCGAATTTTCACGTAACAAAGTCTTTGTACAAAATTCATATCGCGACTGTTTAATTACGTTATACAGGATAGTTCATCAGATATTATACCCATTAGGTATCGCCAGATACCTAAGTACGAAGTAGATTACAACACCAGTCTGATACGTATAATAATAAC